CAACTTATTGATTATTGTGCACAACATTAATTGATCTCGTTCACAGAATGTGCAGCTTAATGCAAAGAGAAGAGAGACTCCAAAAGCAGAAAGACACTTCTGCCCTTTTCTTTTGGTTTGAGCACCTGCCCCCCAAACTGTCTGAAGCTTGTTTTAATCTTCCCAACAATAACCATGTTTTCATCACTAAGAAGTTTCTTTAGAGGAGCGCTTCATATGTTCACTGGGAGCCTTTTTCATCTCCACGTTACCTGAAGGACTTAAAGGGAGGTGGCTGCAGTCTGCAACCTCACCACTAGATGTCACTAAACACTACACACTGTCCTCAACAGACACTTTCATACTGTAATGGAAATGTGTGAATATTAAATGAATAAAGCAACATTTGTGTGAGTTGACAGCTTGTTTGTGTTGTTTGTGTCCTGCAGTGAATGTGAGGAAGACGTATGAAGAGCTGCAGAGAGGACATATTTATCTACATGTTAACAGGAGGACGTCACACTGCAGCCTTTCACTTAATGTGAATTATTACAGAGAATGAAGAGACGTTTATGCTGCTTACAGGTTCATCAAGATGATCTTCACATATTAACAACACTTTTATGATGTTTCCTTTTAGCAGAAGTAAGACGTTAACATTAAAGCAGCTTCTTGTTCTGCAGCTCATGCACACTAATTGCGGAAAGAGGAAGGAAGCTCTGCTGGGTGTTGAACAGCAGCTTGTTACCAACTCCAGAAGAGACGAGCTGACCTCAGAGACATCAGCCTCCTCTTTAATGTAGACGTGTTTCTGGTGACTTACTGAATAAAGAGTTTCTGATCTGCTGATTGAACACAGAGGAGCAGCTATGAGTCCATCAGCCGGTGGATTAGTCGTCTTCCTTCTCTCTGTACAAGGTACTGTACTTCTACATTTATATTGTGAGGCCGTTACACACCTCACACACACACAGGGAGCTGTGTTTTTACTTCACACACAGGTCTGATGTCATCACACACAAATAATGACTAAATGAACATTAACAAAGAAGAAATGCTCTGAATAATTTGTCTCTGTTGAACTTCCTCTAATCGTTCAGCAGCGTTTCTTTGCATTAGACCACATTTAGAGGCTGTTATTCACTCCGAGTCTCTGACGACGTTTGTTCTTCTTTTTGGAGGATTTTATTGTGTATTTGTGGTCATTTTTATTCTCTTCCTGGTTGTTGAGTCTCTTGTTGAATGTCGGATCGCGCCCATCGTGTCTGACGTCTTTGTGCTTCCTCCCGACAACAAAGTTCTGTGTTTGTATTTTTGCTAGTTTTATTTATTTTAAATGTAAAGTTTGCAGATGCAGCAGTGACAAAGCTCACCACGAGCTCACTTATAGCTTAACAGAGTTCCTCTTTCTGCTCCGTGGAGACCGAGCCGAAGGCCGCAGATCACCGGCTGTGGGTGCCGAGCGCAGTCGACGCACAGAGCGGCACAAGAGAGACGCTACTAGTGAGGCCAACGCGTTCATTAGGGAAGTTGCTCAAGACGGGCAATTTTTTTGTTAAAAGTTGCTAAATGGCGTTGTGATGTCATTGCGTAATAACGTGACACTGCGTCATTACGTAGAATACAAGAGCACAGAGCAAAGACACTCTTCTTCTCATCAACCAAACCCTTCTAATACTTCAACTTGAGCTTTTTCAGGTCCACAGGTTCAATACGTCGCTGTTCCTTCCAGCTGCAGAGTCCATGTGGACATCGTGGACTCTTTCATTACTTTCTATAAACTCAATGATTTTCATATTTCTCATAATATCTTTTCTCTTCAGTAAACTACCAATGAGAGTGTGTCCTGTGATGTTGTTCTGAGTGTGACTGTGGTTCCTGATGTGCTGTGTTACAGTGATACAGAGTCAGGATGGATGGAGAGTGAATTACCGTCAGACTGACGTCTGTGCTGCAAAAGGATCAGAAGTGTATATAACCTGTGACATCACACACCCACCTGGAAGAGATCCCTCGGATATAAAGGACAGATGCTGGTTCACTAAAGAGAAAGATGGTGAAACTGTGGATCTGAGAACAGACTCTGAGTATTCAAGCCGTGTGAAGCACACATGTTTTGGTGATTGGAAGACATGTTATCTGATCATCAAAGACCTGAGAGAGAGCGACTCAGCTGAGTACAAATTCACATTGATGACAAACAAACCAGGAGAGAAATATACTGGTTCACCTGGAGTCACTTTGTCTGTCAAAGGTAACATTTTAATTCACATATTAATCATCTCTAAATGTTCAACATCTAGAAAACTAGAGTATAAATGTCTTCTGTGAATGTTGACACTTTAATAAATAATATTCACTGATTCAGGTCTCCAGGTGCAGGTGGGAAGATTAAATTCTACCTGGTTGGAGCTGACGTGTCACAGCAGCTGTGTTCTGCCTGGTCGTCATTTAAACGTCTGGTACAAAAATGAAGAGAGCATCAAGAGAGGATCTTCTCTTCTAGTCTCCTATGGTTCTACAGACAGATATTCCTGTTATTTAAGAGGAACTACTGGTCAACGTTCTCCTGCAGTGTGTAAGTTCACTCCACTGTGTCGGCCTGTGGAGCTTCACTAACATCTCACATGGAGGCACCAGACCGCTGCATGTAAACTAGAGGCATCAAAAAGATGAAGCACAACGTTCCTCAGGAGGTGGAGCCGTGGTCCACTGACCAGAGGGTTGCTGGTTCAATCCCCGGCCCCTGCAGTCTACGTCTAGAAGAGTCAATCACACACTGACACAACAATATGATTCTAATCACAGCTGTAAACACACTGGAGTCTAAATGTTAAAGGAGACACAGATCTTTATTTATGTCATTCTCTTATTAATAGAAACACAAATATAAACCATCAGCAGACAGAATAATGTGATTTTCATAAAGACTCAAGTGAATTATTCCAGAACATAAGTAGAAGTGACGTGTCAGCTGGTGGAGGAAACAATCAATAACCCCTACAACAACTAGAAGTGAGAGGACAGACTCAGCTAAGGACACAAGCAGCATCTAAAGAGAAGAATGTGTGGAGATATGAACATTACAAAGGATTAAAGGCTGCTTATTGTCACTTTACACCAGCAGGAGTCTCACCTGTGACAGCTGCTGTGATGAATAATAGAGATAGTCTGAGAGAAAGACACACAAGTATTCATTCAAATGATCAACTATCTACGCTAACATCTTCTAACCTCTTAGTATGTTTATTCACGTCTCCTCCAGATGGTCCACAGCGTCCCTCTGTGTCAGTGAGTCCCTCTGCTGAGATGCTGGAGGGCGATTCAGTGACTCTGACCTGTAGCGCTGATGCTAACCCAGCAGCTAACTACACCTGGTACAAGGAGCATGAAGACTCACCACGAGCATCAGGACAGAACTTCACCATCACTGACTTCACAGCTGAACACAGTGGGAATTATTACTGTGAAGCCCAGAACGAGATGGGATGTAGTAACTCCACCTTAATTCTGATTAATTCTTCAGGTAAAATACACCTATTCTTCTGTTCCTTCACACATTGTATCAACAATCCAGCTAAAGAAGTGACTCACAGTTAGGTGACCAGACGTCCTCTTTCTGAGACCTAAATAATGTGTCCGGGATTTTGCTTCGTCGGATATTTGTGTTTCTGAGTCTTTCACAAACTAGTTATTCCGCCCTCACAAGTGTTGTAAATGGTGTCTCCCTTACGCTCCACCTTCCTGCGCGAGCTCTGACTGTAGAGAGAACAGTCATTGGTCGACCGATCGCCATGTTGCCAGATGCACGATAATTATCCTCCACATGCGACCATTTTGAGCCTTTGGTACGATACTTGACCATTTCCAATGTGGCAACACTGAGCACCTTGCCGCCTCCACTAGTTGCTTTGTTTACAGCACATGACATCCGCATCCATCCATCCATCCATCTTCAACCACTTGTCCGGGGTCGGGTCGCGGGGGCAACAGCTCCAGCAGGGGACCCCAAACTTCCCTTTCCCGGGCCACATCTACCAGCTCTGACTGGGGGATCCCAAGGCGTTCCCAGGCCAGTGCAGAGATATAATCTCTCCACCTCGTCCTGGGTCTTCCCCGGGGCCTCTTCCCAGCAGGCCGTGCCTGAAACACCTCCCTAGGGAGGCGCCCAGGGGGCATCCTCACCAGATGCCCAAACCACCTCAACTGGCTCCTTTCGACGCAAAGGAGCAGCGGCTCTACTCTGAGCTCCTCGCGAATGGCTGAGCTTCTCACCCTATCCCTAAGGGAGACGCCAGCCACTCTCCTGAGGAAACCCATTTCGGCCGCTTGTACCCGTGACCTAGTTCTTTCGGTCATGACCCATCCTTCATGACCATAGATGAGGGTAGGAACGAAGATTGACCGGTAGATCGAGAGCTTTGCCTTCCGGCTCAGCTCTCTTTTCGTCACAACGGTGCGGTAAAGCGAGTGCAATACCGCCCCCGCTGCTCCGATTCTCCGGCCAAACTCACACTCCATCTTCCCCTCACTCGTGAACAAGACCCCGAGGTACTTGAACTCCTTCACTTGGGGTAAGGACACATTCCCTACCTGGAGTAGGCAATCCATCGGTTTCCTGCTGAGAACCATGGCCCCAGATTTAGAGGTGCTAATCCTCATCCCGACCGCTTCACACTCGACTGCGAAACGCTCCAGTGAGAGTTGGAGGTCACAGACGGAAGATGCCATCAGGACCACATCATCTGCAAAAAGCAGCGATGAGATCCGCAGCCCCCCGAACTGTAGACCCTCCTCCCCCCGACTACGCCTCGATATCCTGTCCATGAAGACCACAAACAAGATTGGTGACAAGGCGCAGCCCTGGCGAAGGCCAACCCCCACCGGAAACGCCTTCGACTTACTGCCGAGCCCCCGAACACAGCTCTCGCTTTGGGCGTACAAGGATTGGATGGCCCCAAGCAAGGACCCCCCCACCCCGTACTCCCGCAGCACCTCCCACAGTATCTCTCGGGGGACCCGGTCATACGCCTTCTCCAAGTCCACAAAACACATGTAGACTGGTTGAGCATACTCCCAAGCCCCCTCTATGATCCTGGAAAGAGTGAAGAGCTGGTCCGTTGTTCCACGACCAGGACGAAAACCGCATTGTTCCTCTTCAATCCTTGGTTCGACTATCGGCCGAACCCTCCTTTCCAGCACCTTAGAGTAGACTTTACCCGGGAGGCTGAGTAGTGTGATACCCCTGTAATTGGCACACACTCTCTGGTCCCCCTTTTTGAAGAGGGGTACCACCACCCCGATCTGCCACTCTTTTGGCACTGTCCCAGACTTCCACGCAATGTTGAAGAGGCGTGTCATCCAAGACAACCCCCCAACACCCATTGCTTTTAGCATCTCTGGACGGATCTCATCAATCCCCGGGGCTTTGCCACTGCAGAGTTGTTTGACTACCTCAGTGACTTCCACCAGGCCAATTGACGATGATCCCTCCTCCGCCTCCAGCTCCGCCTCCACCAAAGAGGGCGTAGTAGTTGGGTTCAGGAGTTCCTCAAAGTGTTCCTTCCACCGCCGGATAACCTCCTCAGTCGCGGTCAACAGGGTCCCATCCTTACTGTACACAGCTTGGATGGTTCCCCGTTTCCCCCTCCTGAGGTGCCGGATGGTCTTCCAAAAACACTTTGGTGCCGACCGAAAGTCCTTCTTCATAGTTACCCCGAACTCCTCCCATACTCGCTGCTTTGCCTCCATCACGGCAGAGGCTGCTGCCCTTCGAGCCTGTCGGTACACTGCAACTGCCTCTGGAGTCCCACCGGATATCATAACCCAGAAGGCCTCCTTCTTCAGTCGGACGGCTTCCCTGACCACCGGTGTCCACCACGGAGTTCGAGGGTTACCGCCCCTTGATGCACCTAAGACCTTGAGGCCACAACTCACCGCCGCGGCTTCAGCAATGGAGGTTTTGAACATAGACCACTCTGGTTCAATGTCCCCTACCTCCACAGGAATGTGAGAGAAGCTCCGCCGGAGGTGTGAGTTGAAAATCTTTTGGACCGGGGCCTCCTCCAGACGTTCCCAGTTCACCCTCACTACACGCTTGGGTTTACCGGGTCTGTCCCGAGTCTTCCCCCATCCTCTGACCCAGCTCACAACCAGATGGTGATCAGTTGACAGCTCTGCCCCTCTCTTTACCCGAGTGTCCAGAACATGCGGCCTCAGATCAGACGATACGATTACAAAATCGATCATTGATTGATTGATTGATTGATCTTTGGCCTAGGGTGCTCTGGTACCACGTACACTTATGAACATCCTTATGTTCGAACATGGTGTTTGTTATGGACAATCCGTGACTAGCACAGAAGTCCAGTAACAAACACCCGCTCAGGTTCAGATCAGGGAGGCCATTCCTCCCAATCACGCCTCTCCAGTTATCTCCATTGTCGCCCTCGTGCGCATTGAAGTCTCCCAGTAGGACTATGGAGTCCCCTACTGGAGCCCCATGCAGGACTCCATTCAGGGTCTCCAAAAAGGCCGAATACTCTGAGCTGCTGTTTGGTGCATATGCACAGACAACAGTCAGAGTTTTCCCCCCCACCACCCGAAGGCGTAGGGAGGCGACCCTTTTGTCCACTGGGGTAAACTCCAATGTAGCAGCACTCAGCCGGGGACTTATGAGTATCCCCACACCCGCCTGGCGCCTCACACCATGGGCCACTCCGGAGTAGAATAGAGTCCACCCCCTATCCAGGAGTGTGGTTCCAGAGCCGAGGCTGTGCGTAGAGGTAACCCCCACCAGATCCAACTGATAACGCTCCACCTCCCGCACAAGCTCCGGCTCCTTCCCCCCCAGAGAGGTTACGTTCCACGTCCCCAGAGCCAGCATCTGCCGCCCAGGTCTGTTCCGTCTAGACCCCCCACTGTCACTGCCACCCTTGTAGCAGCGCACCCGACCCCATCGGTTTCCTCCACAGGTGGTGAGCCCATGGGTAGAGTAGAGTGTTGGGCTGCCGCGTCACTCCTTCGGGCTGTGCCCGGCCGGGCTCCGCGGTAAACCCGGCCACCAGACGCTCGCTGTCGGGCCCTCCATCTGGGCCTGGCTCCAAATGGGGGCCCCGGGCTTCCTCCGGGCCGGGAAACTCCTTCCCTCTTCCGTTTTTTCATGAGGGTCTTGAACCATTCTTAGTCTGGCCCCTCGCCTGAGACCACTTTGCCAAGGGTAACCCTACCAGGAGCACAAGGCTCCCGACAACACAGCCCTCAGGTTCATAGGGACACACAAACCTCTCCACCACGATAAGGTGACGGTTCCCAGAGAGGTAACATCCGCATCTCTTCTTTTAATATGTGGCCATATAAAATAATTGATTATTTAGAATTTTGTATTTGTTATCATCATTGCTTTAATAAATGGACAAGATACATTAAAGAAGCGCTGGACTAAATGCCAGAAGAGAGATTTGTTTTACATTTGCACTTTGCAGTTTTGTTAAAGTTCCATACATAGATGTTCATATAGTCATTTGTGACCTTTGTATGCAGTCACAATGTCATGGTGCAAGTCTCACATTGGACATGAGCTTTTCTTCAGGGGTGGATTCTCTTCCTGAGCTGCTTGGTTGTCGCTTTGTGACTCTTCTGTCGCCAACTTGGGGATAAAGAGGACGTCTATGCAGCCATAGATATTATATATAAAGGCTAGATGTCTTTGGTTTGTTATAAACATCAGAGATGTAGTTATGACACTGCACACGTATGAATAATGTTCTGTTTAATATCATTTCCGTATGAAAACCCATGGTTACAATTATTCATAAGTATGCAGTGTCATAACTACATCTGTGTGCAGGGAGCGGATTTCAACATGCATCTTGTACCTATTTTAGAACATTCTATTTATTAGAACATAACATCATTTTTGTATTATATATATATAATAATTATTCATATAAGTACATGTTTTACTACCAACACAATGTTATGGGTGAGCCAGCTGACCGACCCAAGATGGCCGGATGGTCTGTTTCACTGAGTTAAACATCTTATTTTTGTCACTAATTCATCTTTCACCCTTCATATTTAATAGTTTATATTTGTTGTTGTTTGCTTTCTTTCCCGTGTAGGAAAAGGAGGCTGCACAAGGTCAACAACAACAACTGTTTTTGCATCCATATCTGCTGTTTTCCTGCTGATCATCATCCTCGCTGTCCTCTACATCAGGTGAGCGGTTCAGCTTCACTGGGATTGGCGGCTCGTCGTGGCTCAGGGGGTAGAGCGGGTGTGCTGGTAGGCGCAAGGATGGAGGTTCGAGTCCTGGCTGCCCCATGTCTCAAGTCAAAGTGTCCCTGAGCAAAACACCTAACCCTAATTTCTCCCTGGGCCAAACGTAAAAAGCCGTGGGTTTAAAGTGAGTGAGTCGCTCTGGATAAAAGCGTGCGTTTTAGCGTTCACACAGTCGTTGAATCACTTGATTTGATCATAGATTTGTTTGCTCATTTATTCTTCTGTGAGGAAGAATGATAAAGCAGAGGGACCAGAGAATAACGTTCAGGTGAGGAGGAAGAGCTCAGTGTGGAGGCCTGTTAGAACCTTCATCATATCATGAATAACTTCAATATTAATCCTGTTAGTCTCCAAAAGGTCAAACTATATCCACGTACACTCTGGTTGTACTTAATGTTCTTAATGAATCTGTGTGCGTGTCCTTCTTGTACACAGCGTGCACAGTATCCACAGACACACGATGACAGTTTGTAGATGGAACTTCATTAACCTCAATGACCTTAATTACAACCATTAAACACATGAGACCTCCATGAGAACCTGTAGGGCCCAAAGGAGTCATTAGAGAACAAGCCCTGCAGATATTCTACTATCTGGTCCTTTGTACTTCAGTCCAACAATACTATCCAATAAGTACTTCTTGTTCTTTGATGCAGATCCCACTGACCAACGCTGGACACCAGGAGGAAGAGGAGAAAATGGAGATGGTGCCGTCCACATGTATCCACTTTGATGAAGGCAGCGAGTGACAATCTTTACTGAATATGGATCCGTCTCTGCTTTTATCATCACTTTTTTATTGCTGTTTAAAAGTGTTAATGATTCATTTAGTGAGTTTACGGTTCTTTCACTGACGGAGATGTGAAAGAGCTGTGGATGATACTCAAGTTCTTGATTTTTCGATTTCTTTCGATTCTCGATTCAGAAAAGTTAATAATCGAAAAAAAATATTTTAAAAAAGTCTGTCTCGCGCAAGATATTTGCTCGCTCGCGGGTTAATCTCTGCTCGCGCTCGAAGGTGTTTTCTACGCGCTCGCTGTTGTTCTTTCTGACAGTAAGGGGGCGGAGCCAGTCACCATGGTCTCTACACCTGATTGGTTACAAACCGCGTCTTTGGATTGGCTGGAGTGATGCATCCACACAACTATAGAAGCCCATTTCTGCACTAAAGAAATGATGAGATAAAACGTTTTCAAGAAACAAACGCCCCCCTTGGGTAACTGTAGAGGACCGTAGATGACTTCATTTAAAAGAAAAAGTTTAGAAGTAGTTTAGAATCGATAATTGGATTAGAATCGAATTGTTGACGTCTGAATCGAATCGAATCGTGAGGTGCCAAGAGATTCCCACCCCTACTGTCAGCAATGAACCCACACAGATATGTGGTCTGTTACTGTACAGAGTTTAAGCAGCTTAAACACACCTGCATGAATATGAGGTTGGACATGTTGTATATTCACCATCGTTAAGGCTTCCATCAGAGAAGCATCAGGGAGCCAATGGGAGGCCAGCTTGTAGTCTGTAATCAGCCTTTAAATGTTACTAATCAGCAATATGTTACTACCAGTTCTATACAAGCATCTTCAGGTACATTTATCTGTAAATAGTCTTTACCAATATTGCCAATATGCTTCTATTGATTCATCATTTTGACTGAAGTCGCATCACAAGTTGAGAACTTGGCTCAACTTAAAGTGGCTGAATTTGACTATCAGAGTGTTAACAATAGTCCAAAATAGACCCTTTAAGTTGACATGCAAAATATGGAAATCACCACATGTTTCTTTAATTTTGGAGCAGATGTGTAACAGATGTGTTGTGGGAGATTACCACTGGTAGTAAAGCTCAGTCACAACGGAAGTGGCTTAACATGAATTATACTATGGTTATTTAACCAGAATGTGTATTTTAAACAAGCTACATGATTTCTTTTTAACTGTTTGGGCTTCATGCATCTATAAAAACATAGTAGCTGCAAGCTACACTATTTGTTTTAACGTAAGTTCAAAAACATTTACTTCCTAATGTGAGTTTTATGCCTAATAAATGTATCATTTGATGTTGTTGTTGTTTCTTCTCTGCAGTGACCAGCAGGGGGCGACTCCTCTGCTCCCATAGACGTTGTGACATTGTAAACATGAGTTTGTGGTCTCAGTCTCTAGTTTCAAGTCTTCTTCAATGCAGCAGGATTGTCGTGAACTGGGTTTTCTCCTCTTTTCCTTTCCACCCTTTTTTCTCTCACACACACACACACACACACACACACACACACACACACACACACACACACACACACACACACACCTGCTCATTCATTCCCAGCTGCTTCTCATCTCGTCATCCTCTCTTCCCCTCACCTCTTCCTACCTTCTGCAATTAGACTCTCTATTTCTCTATTTCCATCCTGCTGGTATGTTTTTTGTTAAAGGGGCCATATTATGAAAATTCCACACATTCCTGTGTGGTGTTGTGTTGTGGTGTCAGAAACGATATGCTTAAGTGCGTCCAATGGGATCACCACCAACGTCTAAGTAGATTTTAAAGCACGCCCATGTATTGAGTCTGCCTACATGGCCTTGGACCCCCCCCCACCACCACTCGACCCATCTAGTTTAAAGACGTAATGGCTAGCTGGGCAGGCAGCAGCTATGCGAGCGCATCTCGTCGAGGAGGGGGAGGGGGGAGCTGGCTCTTTAGCATTTAAAGGAACAGGCACTCAAAACAGGTCAATCTGTGGGGACGTGTTTTTGACAGGGTAAAAAGGGTGCTGTTTGAAATGATTCTTCTGGTATTTTGACCAAAATATGTTACAAACATTTCATTGAGACCCCAAGGAACCATATCAACTTGTGGAAAAATGGACATACGATGGGGCCTTTAAGAAGAAGGACGGTTCCTTACGTCCCTGTATTGATTACCGCGGTCTGAATGACGTTACGGTGAAGAACCGTTACCCATTTCCTCTTATGTCATCCGCCTTTGAGCTCCTGCAGGGGGCTAAGGTCTTCACAAAACTAGACCTTCGTAATGCTTACCATCTAGTCTGTATTAAGAAGGGGCACGAGTGGAAATGTATTTGTCAGATCACAGGTCAAGTATCAGCGCTGCGTTTGCAAAGGCAGGAGCAGTTCAGGCAGCACACAGGCCGGAAGAACAACTAACTAACATCAGCAAGAACATCATGTTTTATAACCCTTGAAAGACAGAGAAGGACAGATTTCTATTGGCCCTAAACTGGCGTAGAGGAGGACCTTCCACCTCCCGCATCTAAGATCCGGTCACATCCAATGTCCAGACTCCTGACTTAACGTAAACATTGTAAACAGAGTGTGTATGTTGAATAGTGTTGGTGTGTCTCTAACCCCCCCTTTGGCTGGTAAATCTTCTAGTTGACCCGCAGACCTTACATTCCTCAGCCAGGACAGAAACTGACTCCCCATCCTGTCAGACTCGTGTCTGCCTGCTTGGCAGATCCTGCTTACCCCCTTACCTAACTCTTAAATCAAGACAAGACAGCAAACCCCCAACTAAGCCCATGGAAATAACTTTTGATTATCAAAGCGGAGCCGTCTACAAACAGCTCAAGATCTGCATTGGGAAGAGGTGTGTCTAACAGATCAGGCCTTGGAACACATGTCTGCTGCAAGACTTCAACACAATCATGAAGCTCTCTGTCATCTGCAGTTGGAAGGAGTGTAGCTGGGTTAAGGACATTGCATCGTTTGACAATTACGTTATGTTGTAGGATACCTGAACCATCTCTGAGCAGAGAGGTGAGATGTCTTCTGGGCACATTAGATATGAGAGACAGTAAGTGGGACCATGAGTGGGACATCACAGAAGCCCACAATGTCATGATGCTAAAATGTCTCTCTCGGCTGCTGCCACTGCTCGCAAACAGAGAGGAAGACCCGAAGCAACAGGGTCAAGTTTTGAGGAGAAGTAGGCAACAGGCCTAAGTTGTCCTCTATGAAGATGACACAAAACTGATGTCATTTAACAGTCCTTCTGGTCTATGAACTGAGTCTACGGTAAGTCGGGTCTCAGCAGGCCCAGAGTCGGGGCCTGTGATAAGGAAGTCTTTAAGTCCTGAAAAGCCTTTTCAGCTTCAGTAGTCCAAGTCAGTTTGTCATGCGCGCTGAGGCCTTTACCGTGGACCATGAACGAGAGAGGTGCCTCTCTTTCTGAATAATTAGGGATCCACTGTCTACAGTATGAAGTCATCCCCAAAAAACTCATCATTCGTTTTTTTTTTTTGTACCAATTGATTTGCCCCACTACGTTTGGGAGAGAGGGATTTTGCCCTCAGCTGTGATCACATGTCCCAGATAAGTCACTTGTTCTAGAGAAAATTTAAGTTTTCGTAGGCAAGCCTTATGTCTGTTCTCTGCCAAATGTTTAAGTAGCGAAATTTTATCAATTTTACAAGCCTCCTTTGATGGGCTGCAAATCATCATATCAGCCACATCCTTTAGATAGGCCGACCCTGCCGGGAGTTATAAATTATCTAGATGTTCCTAAGCGTTCCTAAGATCCTGTATCCCAGTGAGATGGTTTAGCCAATGAAATGTGGAGTAGAATCAAGGAACACCTTTTTTTTTTTTTTCTTTGGGAAGGAGAGAGAGATACAGACACCGCAGCAGCCTCCTCTGACCAACACACATGCTTCAACCATAATCTCTCTTTCTCCAACTTTTGGTCACGCTGTACCTCCACATACCTGCTATCTCGCCCTGTGCTTACATGGGATGTGCAATGTAATGACTGTTCATGCATGTAATCTTCTACCGTGTGTGAATGCGCAATTTTTACATGGTCATGAGTAATTAATGCATCAAGGTATGCTAGTAGTTTTCATCCATATACATACAGGAGGGTTTTTGACTGTAGTTAAAAATCTAAAATAATTGCAATTTAGTCTTCTTTTTTCCTTTTTTTTTTTTTAAGGTGCCATCTGATGTGGAGCTCAAACACATTGCCAAATGCTCTTGAGTCAACTACAAGTGTTACCGGATGGCAAGAAATTGTCAATGTTAATTATAGGAATTTCTGAATATATCTTCGACATGCAATCTAAGATGTGTGTGTGTGTGTGTGTGTTGTATCTGCAACTATTTTG